TTCCTCAGATCTAGATCTAACTCTCCTTGTACAATCTGCAGCTTTTTCACCATCAGACATGAATTTTGAAGCTTTCAGAAACCTTAACTGTAGCAATCAGCAGAAACAATCTGCTCTAAAAAGCTACAAAGATTAACGTAAACGAGGCAGAAAGCTGAAAAGTTTTTATGTAATTGTGCTCCAGACACCATAAAGCGGTAAAACATCAACTCTTAAATTATTTTATTTGTTTTAATATAATTGATTTTCTAATTAATCTTTACGCAGACAGCTGAAATAACTGAGTCTTAAGCTATATTGTAAAATCTGCATCATTGTTATTGTACTGTAACCAGGAGTGTATGGTTTAAGGTGGAAATCAAGCAGCATTCAATGCTGTGGAAGAATTGCCTTAAAGGCCAGTGAGGAAGATTAATCAAACTCTGAATCCATTCAGTGGTGCACCCTACCTGCAGATGTTATCTTCTAGGGAAAGTCATCTGAAAATAATCAATCACGCCACAGGTTCAGGTCACAATTTTGCAAATGAACACCAAATCAAGCTTCGTGTGCTTAGAAGACGAGTCCCGAGGATTGATGAAAGAATAAGTTACTCGACACAGAACATTTGTGCTGCCTGGTCTTTAGCTTCTGCTTTTTAAACCATTAAAAATAAAAATAAAATGTTTAGAAAAATATAAGATTTCTTTCATTGCTTCATTGCTTTATAAATGACAATTCTTGTCACCATATTAATTATCTTATCCTGTGCATGTTGGACTTTAAAAAATGACAATATCAAGAAAAATCAATCACATTACTAATTCTGAGCAGTCAAAAGTACTTTAAAGAGGAAGAGAAAGGTATACTTGTTATTTTTTAAAATACGATCAATTACTCTGAGTTTCAAATGAATGCAGAATGTGGAAACAGTCTTCTACCCCCATTTCCTAGCCTAGAAATCCAGACCAACAATAGCAGTAGCAAAATATTTTGCTCTGCAGGTCAGTCCAGCATCATCCAGATACATCTCTTCCATAAAGAGCTCCAGATCCAGATCTTTATAAACAACTCTCAGATGGTCTACCATTGAACAAAACAGCTTTGTGTGTTACTAGTCACATTGCTCATTTGTTGGGCAAGCTTAGCACCAGAGCTGCGACGGAGAAGAACTACAAAGATGGCATCAACTCAGAAACGGTGCTCATTTCAAACTGCGTTGGCATCAACTTTGGTCTGTTTACACTTGTGCTTTTCTTTTCTTTTCTTTTCTTTTCTTTTCTTTTTTTTCTTTTCTTTTCTTTTCTTTTCTTTTCTAGGTGTGAGTACATGTTTGAATGGTTGTCTGTCCATGTGTGTCCCTGTGATGGAACTGAGAGGTCCAGGGTGTGCCATGCTTCTCAGCCTATGACTGCTAGCTCCTCCTTAAGAGGAATAAATAGTTATAAAGATGAGAGCTTGATATGTGCTCTAATTTCCCTCTGGGATTAATAAAGTATATTTGAATTAAATTGAATTGAATCAGCTAGAGGTCCTCTGATTGGTCATAAAGCCATGACCCGATTTCACTGAAACTGATATGATAGCCAAACAATGTTTGCAAAAGACTCCAACATGTCTTGGAAAGGTGCCTCGTTTCTCATGTTGCTGAAAATAAAAAACATGCATGAAGTCATAGAGAAGGTTTTTATTCTCATGAAGTAATGTCAAAGTCTTTGTGGGCAGTCTTGTTTCCATGAGTCAGAAAGTGTGAGATGACTTTAGAAGGAGTTTGAGACCCATGAGACAGAGTTGCGATTGATGACACAGTTGACCATGACATTCTACTGGATCACCTGGAACATTAGGTAGGGATTATGGGGTCAGCTCTTGAATGGCTGCGGTCATACATCCAGAAAAGAAGGTTTCGTGTGATGGTTGCCAATTCTGTGTCCACCTGGGAGGACCTGCGGTAGGGGGTACCACAGGGTTCAGTCTTTGGCCCACTCCTCTTTGACCTTTATTTGCTCCCAGTGGATGTAATCCAATGCAATCATGGCATTAAATTTCATTTGTATGCAGATGACTGCCAGATTTATTTTACCCTGAGTTGGGAGGTTCTATTAAGAAACTCCAGACTTGTGTGGATAAGGTCAAGTTGTGACTAGCAGTAAACTTTCTTCATGTTAATGATTAGCAAGACCAAGCTTATTACATTTCTCCCTTCTAGCAAGAGGAGTGTGAGCTCTGCTCCTGATTTGGATGCCCTGACACCCTACTGGAAGTCCTCTGTCAGAAGTATTGGGTTGTAATTGAATGCAAACTCAAATTTGACAGTCACATGAACCAGGTGGTGAGAACCTGCTTGCTTCACTTGCGCCGTCTGGCAAAAATCAAGCCGATGTTTTCCAGGATGCATCTCGAGCCTGTCTTGCATGTTTTTGTTTTACCACAGCACGATTACTGTAATGCACTATTACAGTATGTTGGGCTGAGTCAGGCAGCAATAAAACAATTGCAGTTAGTGCAGAACCCAGCAGCTAGATTCCTGACAGGCTTGAAAAAGACAACACATGTCCTGGCTTCCCTACACTGGCTCCCTGTGGCTTACCGAGCAAAGTTTGAAGGTCTGTTGTTGTCTTCCGGGCCCTTCACGTTGGTGCCCCACCGTATCTGGCTGGGTTGTCACAGATGCGTGCTCCTACACACTCCCTTTGCTCGGCTGATCAGGATATGCTCATCGTTCCATGAACAAGGTTCAAATCTGCAGGTGATAGAGGCTTTTTGGTTCTTGATCCAGCACTATGGAACAAGCTACCACTTGCTGTCAAACTGTCCCCATCACTGCAGATCCTCAAGAGTCGACTGAAGACTCATTTTATCGATTGGCTTTCATGTAACATGGATTTTTAGTCTTTTATCATACCTGCTTTTTTATTGTATCTGTCTTCTCATTTTAGTAACTGTTTCACGCGGTTTTTAGTCTGTCTTATTGTCTTTTTTTCTCTTTTATTGCTTTTATCATGTTCAGTGCCTTGGGCTTCTGTAAAGGCAGTGGTAGGCGCTATGAAAGTTAAATTTGATTGGTTGATTGATGTGAGAGAGAGAAAGAGAGAGAGAGAGAGAGAGAGAGAGAGAGAGAGAGAGAGAGAGAGAGAGAGAGAGAGAGAGAGAGAGAATACATGATAACGAAATATTAAAGGGATACTTTGCTAGTCTGACCAGCCAGCACCATGCTTCCTTATGGGAAGCATTGGGTCTGGGAAGTCTTCTATTCAAATAACCCCACCCCCTGAGAATTCTAACAGAGCCAATCAGCACTGAGCATTGTACGTCTCACACACAACGCTCAGTTTCTCATAAAGATAAAGAAAGATGTCTGCACTGCCGCCAGACTCCATTTTCGACCACAACTAAAATAATTACAGCGTCGCGCAGTACAGTCATCATTTGTGCCTTTTTTCTGACTGGTTATTTTTAAACTGGCTGGTCCCACCCCTCATGTGACTCTCTGCCTGTGAGTACTCAGTTCTCTGTGTAGAATTAAACAGAGGGCGAGTCTGGCAGGCCAGGCCAACACTTAGCAACTTTTTCATATTTTTAAATCATTTTCTTGAGCTTGGGTATGTGCTAAAGTGACCCTCTACAGCAGAGGTACTCAATTCTGGGCTTGGAGGGCTGGTATCCAGCACATTTTAGTGGTTTCTCTGGTCCAACACACTTGATTCAGTGGTTAAATCACCTGTGCAGCAGCTCACCAGACTCTGCAAAAGCCTGCTAATCACCTACTAACTAAATGCAGGTACGTTGAAGCAGGGTTAAAACCAAAACGTGGATACCGGCCCTCAAGCCGTGGAATTGAATTGCCCTGCTTTACAGGGTTAATGAAAAGCCACCTGGCCCCCCTTTGGCCAGAACATTCCACTAGCAACTTCAGACTGACGGGGCGCTCTGTTGGGACCATAGGCAGATATGTGCTGCAGTCTGCTTCCAGCACATTTCCTGCATGCTTTAGATCCTGAACACAGTTGATTTGTTTAATTTAGTGATTAACTGCTCCTGTGGACACTAAGGAAGGCTGGGACACGTTTCAGTTGTTAGAGTAAGGTGCTAAAAAGAGGAACACACCGCAAGGAGATACGTTTTGCTTTCAGTTCTACAAACGGACACTAGAGGGTGCTAAAAAGCAAGCCCAAACTGCCTAGCCTCCCATTAAAGATAACAAAATGCAGACAAATGAGTTCACAAGCTGAAAATTCAACAGAAATGTGTACGTTTGCATGAATGGTGAACAAATATTGCATTTTACGGGTAATTTTTTTATACATCATTACTGTTATATCTTTATTTTTTATGACTTTTATAAACATGCAGTGAGTAAGTCACTCTTCACAAGATTCTGTAGTTTTATGGACGATGAAACAGAGTTTTTCTTTTATTGCCAAAGAACGTTTTGTAGATACAAGGTTTTTCCCCAACAGTGTTCCGTGACTCTGATTATTCACGTAAAATTTAGCATTTTTGTGTCCTGTTACTAACTTTCACAGCACAGTGAGAGAATCACCCAATGCTTAGGGAAAGAAAATAACAATTTTACTGCTTCGTTGGAAGATTGGAACAGGTGTTTGATCATGTTTTGTAATGGACTGGTCAGAAATATTGATTATTTTCAGTAAAAAAACCCAAATTTTATAAAATAATATAATGCAATTGATAAAACACATTTTTAAATTCCTATTGAACTCCTTAACAGTGAAATAAATTGTCACAAGGGGATTAAACCTTTAGTTTTGGTGGATTCCTGCAGCACTTTGCTGTTTGTTCTGGTACCATTATACGTGTGAGTTCAAGGATGTGTTGCCTTGGCAGCTTTGGTGAAGCAGGTGCTGAGCAGCTGAAAAGACGACTAATAGGACGCAGGGTATTTCTGATGCTGATGATGACACAGACTAAATCACTGCTCACTGAGGAGATCTTGGCTCCACAGCTCTACCTGCTGCGGTCTCCCGTTCAACATGTTGCCTTTGCTCTCCCTCCTCCAGGTAACACATGTCAAAATGGCCTGATGCCCGCCCTGGTGCGTCCAACCCTGCCTGCTGTCCAGACCTCACTGGGCATCAAGCAGTTCCTCCCAATTCCATTGGATACGGCCTCAGCGGTCAGCCTCTTCCCAGGATTCAATGCGGTGAGTCCCATTATTATCTATTTACTTCACACGATCTGCTCACTGGCTTCGAGGTGCTGACTGACTCTGGCTTGGGTCACGCAGCAGACTCCTGCTGTTATCTGAGCAGGAGCAGCAGCGTTTTAGAGACCGGCCTTGGACATTTTTTATAGCTTCACATTCAGAGGAAATTTGTTATGATCTTAGTTCTGGCTGCAAGAGCGTCTGTGTTCATAAATCTGCATCATTATCAAGTGCCCTTCAACAAAAATGTGTAAAAAAAAGTCTACACCTGCATCTGAAGTCAGGTAATTCGGTGCAGCCCTTGACGGTAATTCTTGAACGATGGAACTTTGGCCCAACGTTACAAGCAGGCAGCTTATGCAAGTTTTTAATCTTTAATGTTTAAATTTTTAGTATTTCAAGGCCTGACAAAAATGCAGACAGATTAAACATTTTTACTGCAAAATTTTAAAGCTACAATAGCAAATCTGGAAAACAAGTCGGGTTAAAGCTTTTTTTTGAGCTTCTTAAAAACTTCTAACATAGTATAGCTATAAATATGTAGTAACACTTTACAATAAGGGCCTTTTTATTAACATTACTTAGTGTATTCTTAAAGGTGTAGTTACCTAAAAAAACATCATTGTTTCTGGAGATAAAACATCAACGTTGCAAGTCAGTGGTAGAGTCACGCTGCTGTTATCCGGCCATGGTGAGATGTCTAAATATCAAGAAATAAGACTCCCAAACCTGCCGTCTGAAGCTCAGCTGGGATGTGGGTAACCTTTAGGAACACTGGTATTATTCGTCCCCCCCCCCCCCACCCCCCCACCCCCAAGAATGACTTACAAGACAAAGCAGCTTCATTTATACAGCACATTTCATCATTTCATCAATGTGACAGAAAATACAATTTAAAATGAAACAAAGTTAAAGTTAAAAGGGAGAGCGAATACAATGCAGAATGTGAAGCATAAGAAATAGTCCTTCAAACACTGATGAAAACATGGAGTCTTCAATTTTTATTTAAAAGTTACCGGAGTTGGGGCACGTTTGAGGTCCTGAGAAAGCCGAGTCCATCTGTGGTCAGCATAGTAGCTAAAAGCGGCTTCAGCCTGTTTGGTTCTGACCTGGGGTTCTACCAGCTGACCGTTTCCCAAGGATCTAAGAGCCCTGCTGGTGTAAATATCAACATATAACCTGGCTCCATGCCATTGAGTTATTGATAAACTAGTAGAAGCACTTTGAATTTGATTCTGTAGTTTTCTGGTAACCAGTGTAGAGATTGAAGAACAGGAGTGATGTGCTTGCTTCTCTTGGTTTTTGTTAAGACTCTAGCAGCAGCATTCTGAATGAGCTGCAGTTTCTTCACAGACCATTCAAAAGACCATAACAATAGTCCAGCCTGCAGGAGATGAACACATGGATGAGTTTCTGTAGGTCTTGTCTGGACAAGAGACCTCCGAGTCGTGCTATAGGATAAAACACTGATCTAGTTATCAGCTAGAGACTAGAGACCACTACAAAGGTATTGATTAAATGAGTCAATTGTTTCTTTAAGCATTAATATTGAAAGGGTCCCTTTATTAATGCTATCGTTATTGTTGACCATAGTGTTGTTAAGTTTAGAACAAAGGGCTGGGGGTGGGAATGTCATCATGCATAATCCCATCCAAGGTAGTCAATGTTTGGCTCTTCCACATCCAGTTTTAGGTCAACATCAGAAGGAATCTACAGTAGTTTTAGACATTTTTGTGTGTAAATGTAAATTTTCTGTGATTCTGGGATTTCTGTGATTCTGACAGTTTCAGTAAAATAACATTAATAATCAAAAGATTTAATAAAACATGTGTTGCTGCAGTCATGCATGGTTCCTAATCAGTATTTCCTCATATACTGTATTATAGTTTCTGTGGGATTTTCTGGAGTACGTATGCAGTATAGCTCCAACATGTTGGAGGAGTTGCCACTTATGCTCGGTGTGCACTTGCTGGGCTCTCCGTATGGATCTATTGATTTTCTTTTTGAAAGCAGAAAGTAATAATGAGAAAATGTATGTGGCCTCACGCGGCTCAAATCAGCGAGGTCATCAGAAAATATCCAATGACTGCTGGGAAAAAACAGAAAATCTAACAGATAAAAGCCTTAAAGTCATCTTTTAGAGTTGATAGGTGGTGGTATGGGGCGAGTTTAAAAAAAGAAGAAAGATATGCTGGAAGGAGAGGCTGAAATATGGAGCACAGCTGGTTAAGAGTGAGAAGAAACAAAGGGAGAGAGAGTAGGGACATCAGAGAGACAAGCCGGGATAAACCGTGGAAGACGGATCGTCTCTGTTTCATGGGAAAGTTCAGGAATCCTTTAAATCCCTCAGCTCGCCCCATCTAATCTGTATTTAACACACACTCCGTAATGAGTAATACACTGGAACGCCTCCGAATGGCGGAAAGCTGATAGTAGATCAACACCAAGTAATCACCTCACACACACACACACACACACACACACACACACACACATGCGCACACCCACACACACACACACACACATGAACACAGCTCTAATCTTTCAGCTCAACTTCATCAACCAACTTCTCTCCCGCCGTTTTTGCCACTGATGCCCCCTCCCCTCGTGATTTTTTGATCACCTGTGAAATGTAACTTGGAGCCGTTTAATGAAAGTCGCTGCACGTTAAAAAGCTCTAGACGAGGTGGAAGTTTGGTCTCCAGGGTAAAACAAAGGCGCTTGTGATGGTTTTCTTTGGTGTCGCAGCGAGACGCTTAAAACACCCTGGATGAGAATATCTCAAATCAAATCAGGCCAAGTAGGAAACATGAAAAATGAGCTTAAATGAGCTGAATCTGGAGCGGAACATAGTAAAGGAATGAAAGAGGTGAGGTGTGTGTGATGTGGTTTCGCTGGAGCAGCATATTAGATGTTGGAGATTTGCGATTCTGCTGTAATTGTGCAGAGAAACCACGCAGCTGTTTGACTGAGTGGGGCAGATTTTGTGATTTACAGATCAGGCTGAAGCTAGTTTCCATCTGTGTTCCCTCTGAAAGCAGACGCTTTCTATTGCCTCAGATGAGGTCTGATTTGCTTACGTGCCTCCGGGGCTCAATAAACATTTACGCTCCCATATTCACAGAAAAAGGGAAAAAAAAATACATACGATCCTATTGCGGACGATGACAGTTCTTCCATTAATGTGCTGCAGCAGCAAGAACACGCTTACTCTCAGCCGGATACATACCATTGGATGCATTTTTCAAATGTGACAAGAAAGAAGAGAAAAAACCTGACAGAAGGGGGAGGGGCGTGTCCACACCTGCGTGAAATGAGAATAATACTGAAGTCTCTTGTTGAGGCTTTGCAGAATCTTGTTCTGGGATGAGTGACTGACAAATATCAGGATGTCCTTCGCCAGAGGCACAGAAAGGATGTTTGTTTTTTATCTCTGTCTCTTCCTCCTGCCCCAGTGGAGCACCTTAACACAATAAAATGTTACAGAAAACGTGGCTTCCAGCCTCGGAGCGTGTGAATACATGTGCAGTGTGCAACACGAGGTCCTTCCGCACGTCCACTCAGGCTGTTGTTTTGTTTTCAGCTAGGCTTTTATTAAAATAACTTACAAAAGTTTCCATTAATTTATTTTCTGGTTTTCTAAAATGTTCACCCAGAAATATGCGACCAACCTCCCAAAAAACTCACCACCTGGATTTAACTAAGCAAATAAGTACAAGATGACCTTTCAGCTGGCAACGAGTTATTTAACTCCAACTGGTGTAGTGAGTTGCTTCTCATTTTGGGGAGAAGATGTTAGTCTGTGTGAGAAGGGCCAGGTCATCGGCATGCATCAAGCAGAGAAAACATCTGAGGAGATTGCAGAGAGAAAACTGCCCAATGAATTATTACAAACTGGTCTGATGAGTCCAGATGGACCCTGTTCCAGAGTGATGGGTGCTTTGTATCGATTATAGAACCATTATAACTTAATAAAAAAGGTCACAATATGTCCCCTTTGTCTAGAACAAAACTTTTCTTAGTAGCTTAATAGAAAACAAAATTAGCTATATTAATTAGTTTACTATCTAGCAAATGTTCATCTTGCTGGTTTGTGGTTCCTTTTAAAATCTGTTTGAATCTTTCATGACTTTGTTCTTTTTTTACACAGCTTAGTAAAAAAAACAGTTCTTTACCTTAAATGTTTTGGCTAATGACTCTTAAAGGTCATCGGAGTTCGCCGGTGTTGGAGCAGCGGATAAGCTGAAGTGACGCCACCAACACCGGCAACTCATTAGCTGAAACATTTAAGGTAAAAAACTATTTTGTTAAAAGTTTTTGTAAAAAAGAATAAAGTAACGGACAATGAAGTAACACACAGAACAAATATACAAAACAGTGTTCTGATCTTTATTTAATTAGTTTTTACAGCTAAAACACAAAAACATGTATGTAGACTTATGTTATTATTATTTGTATTAATAATAATAACAATATAATAATAATAATAATAATAATACACTTTATTTGTGCCTTTTTGTTAAAACAATCAGAATAAAATTACAATATCTTGATTTCAGTACAAATTTGGGACCAGCTTGCTGTGAATCTCTGCTGTAACAGCTGCTGCTGTTTTATTTCCCCACACGAACAAACACCCTTTTGTTAAACTGTTGGTGGAAAGGTGATGGATTGGGCTGCAGGACCTGGATTTGGCTCCAAACATGAACAGGGAATAGTTTCAGTCTCCTAAGCTTCATGGTTTGGGGTCGAGAAAAGATCGCAGCGATGGGGAGTGGTTCTGGTCCAGCTGTCAGAGGGGTGGGGGGAGGGGAGATGGACCTGATGGATTCAGGGAATGGCAGATGAGGCAGATTAGTACAGCTGAGGATCGTTCCTAAACAAATTCCTTTCTCACGATGGGCAGAAACATTTTGAAGCTTTGGAAGATGGCCACATACGAACCAGATAGCATGTCTGCTGTGCTGTGCACGGTTTCAGGATGCATGTTCTCACAT